AATACAGAAACGGCTACAATCATACATTGACAGAGAACTTCCAGAAGTTCTAGCTGGATTCAGAAGAGGCCGTGGAACGAGAGATATCATTGCTGATGTCCGATGGATCTTGGCTGAAAGCAGATAATATCGAAAGATGTTTACCTGAGCTTTATTGACTACACAAAGGCTTTTGATTGGTGTGGATCATGACAAGCTATGGACAACACTGCGAAATATGAGTATTCCAGAACACTTCATTGTACTCATGAGGAATCTGTACCGGGACCGAGAAGCAGTTGTTTGAACAGAACATGGGAACACTGAATGGTTTAAAATTAAGAAAGGTGTGCGACAGGGTTGTATTCTTTCACCATACTTATTCAACCTGTATGCTGAGCAAATCATCCGAGAAACTGGGTTCCATGAAGAAAAATGTGGCATCAGCATTGGAGGAAGACTCATTTAACTCATTTAACATACGCAGATGATACAACCTTGCTTGCTGAAAGTGAAGAGGACTTAAAACATTCACTGATAATGATCAAAGAGCACAGCCTTCTGTATGGATTACATCTCAATGTAAAGAAAACAAAAATCCTCAACATTGGACCAATAAACAACATTCTTATCAATGGAGAAAAGACTGAAGTTGTCAAGGACTTCATTCTCCTTGGACCAACTATCAACACTCATGGAAGCAGCAGTCAAGAGATCAGATGACATACTGCATTAGGCAAATCTGCTGCACGAAACCTTTTTAAAGTGTTGAAGAGCAAAGATGTCAGCTTGTGGACTAAGGTGCACCTGTCCCAAACCACGGTATTCATTTGCATGCGAAAGCTGGACAGTGAATAAGAAAGACCGTAGAAGAATAGATGCCTTTGAGTTATGGTGTTGGAGGAGAATACTGAAAGTGCCATGGGCTGCCAAAAGAACCAATAGATCTGTTTTGGAAGAAGTGCAGCCAGAGTGCTCCTTGGAGGCCAAGATGGCCAAACGTCGTCTCTCATACTTTGGACATATTGTCAGGAGGGAACAGTTGCTGGAAAAGGATATCATGTTTGGTAAGATGGAGGGTCAGCGAAAAAGAGGAAGACCCCCAATGAGATGGACTGGCTGGGTGGCAGCACCGATGGACTCAAGTGTGGCAACAGTAGTGACGTTGGCCCAGGATTGGACACTGTTTAGTTCTGCTGTGCATAAGGTCGCTATGAGTCAGTGCCGACTCAATGGCACCTAACAACAACATGAGAGACGAAGTTTGGCCATCCTGGCCTCCAAGGAGCACTCTGACTGCACTTCCTCCAACACAGATCTGTTGGTTGTATGGGCAGGCCATGGCACTTTCAAAATTCTCCTCCAACACCATAACTCAAAAGCATCAATTCTTCCATGGTCTTCTTTATTCACTGTCCAGCTTTTGCATGCATATGAGGTTATTGAAAAGACCATGGCTTGGGTCAGGTGCACCCTGTGGTAGCTCTTAAAGCTGAACTACTTCTTACCTTCTCACCTCTATATATACCCCAGTCTGGGAACCTGCTACAAATATCTCTTATGTGGATTATTGTAAAAGTCTCCAACTGATGATTCCCCTCCTTCAGTCCTTGAACCTTACAACACAGCAGTCAAAGTATCTTTACCAAACTAAAGTTACTATAAAAACTCCAACTTTTTTGTATGCTTAAAAATTTTATAATAAAATTTGGGAAACAAACCTAAAGGTTAGACCCTTCAAAGCCCTCTATACTTCGCATTTCATTCAGAGTGAAAATAGTCTTTCTATTCACTGACTGGGCCTTACAGCCTCCCTCTTACCTCTGCGATTACTGCTCTTCTGCCTGTCACCCATTACTGCATAGCAAACAGACCTCCTTGTGCTTCCTAAACACTCTAATCATGCTCCATCCTCTCTGGGGTTTTTCACTTGCTGTTCCCTCAGTTTAAAACATCTAGTCTCTAATATCTGCCAGCTCAGGCCCTCACATTCTTTAAGTCTTTGCTACAATGTTACTGTCTCAGTGAAGAGGTTCCTGGACCACTCCTTCATAAACTACCTCCTACCCACCATCCCTAATTCCCTGTGGAGTCTGTTGCAACTGGTAATGAACCTGCATAGGGTTTCCCAGGCTGTAAATCTTTGCAGTAGCAGAATACCTCATCTGTCTCCAGTGGAGTTGCTGATGGGCTCGAACCACCAACCTTGTGGTTCATGGTCCATTGTTTATTGGACAGAGCCACTGTGCTCCTAATCAAATACGCTATTAAATCATTAATTCTAAGAAGACTTAAAGGTAAGTCTAATCCACATTTCACGTATTTATTTTAAAATGCAATTTCCAAGTGCTTATGTTTGGGTACCAACCCCATGCACATGCACTGTGTATGTTCCCCTGTAAAATGTACAGTGACAATTATGCAAACTTACTCATTTGTTGCTTTGTGTACTGCTCTAGAATGTTTTCTTCTTATGTGAGTAGAAATAGTGACAGAATTCTCTAGACGCTGGGCATCTGGTGTCTGTTTTCAGTGTTAAATTTTTCTAAGGGCTACTTACCCACTCATTTAGAAGGGCTACATTGCCCACTCATTTAGAAAATGTTTTTATTTTTATTTTTAAACTTGAGTCTAGGGGATAAATGTCATTGAAGTAGAAAATAAAATTGCAAACTAACTTATAAAGTGTGCTTTATCCTTGGCATTTAAAACCACATCTCATTGGGGCCAGTATATAAAAGTATTACCCTATAAAAGGACCGGTGGAGAGGGGAGATGAAGAACAGGTGTGAGATGGGAATTTGTATAGCACTACTACGACGTGATGGGTCTAGTGAATCTCTACAAACACTATCTAATTTAATCCTGATAGTAACAGCCTTCACAAAACTCTCAATCAATGTACAGATAGGTAAGAAAACGCAAGTTCAGAAAGACTACCTAGTAATCTGCCACACAACACTAGGGCTACCTGAGGCCAAGGCCTGTATTTACTTTCTTACAGAATTCTCTTTCCTTGAGGTGTCACATAATGATTACATGTCATCATTAAAGTCCTTGATTGGCTTAGCATGCCTAGCTACCCATGAGCCCAGTCAGAGGTGCATCTGGCAATTTCCTTACCTGTGGACATAAAAAATGGGATGCGGAACTTTCCACTCAGCACCCGGGCCCGCAGATTCTGCAGTGTGCTTCCATCAAACGGCAAGGCCCCACATACAAGCACATAGAGGACAACTCCAAGGCTCTGCATCCCAAACACAGACAATTAATTGCATCCGAGGAAACAAAAGAGCCCATTATATCGCATGCATGAAGATGATGGTGAGTCATGCACAAGATAACAGAACAAACTTTCTCCATCCCTTTTTTAAGTGAGAAAAAATATGGGCATGTCAAGACCAATTATCTCCAGAAAATCTAACACTTTTCTTTGCTTTTAGGCACTAATTGTGGGTAACAGCCTAGATTTCTCTCAGGCAAGTGGCAGCAAAAAAGAGAGTGTCTACTTTTGGCAAGGGTACCCATCCAAGTTGGCTTGAGGCTCGCTTGTAGTAACAAAGGGGAATTTGAAACCTGTGCTTGGCCCATTTAATAACTGTAGGAGGAAAGACTATGTACAGAATTGGGAATTCAAAGAGCAGATAACCTTGACCCAATCCACACGTAGCATTAGGAGGTATCATGAGGGCAGGAATTAATGCTGTGGGCTGCAATAGAAGGCAGTTGCTTACCCAGATGTCTACTTTGGGTCCATCATATTCCTTCCCTTCAAAGAGTTCAGGGGCAGCATAGGGAGGGCTGCCACACCAGGTCTTCAGCAGCTGCCCAGGGGTGAAGAGGTTACTGAAGCCAAAATCTAAAAAGGCAAATGGACATTGCTTATGTCATTTTAAGCCAGCAAACACGAGTCTTTAGTCACTAAAGTTAGGTTGGGATACCAAATTTGAAGAGAAAGTTTAGGAAATATACAGCCTAAATTTTTTTAAAAAGGTAGTGAACTAGAGATATAGATGAGCTACAGTATAGAAGAAGATATCTGACAATGAAAAGTACAGCACATAATTACCTTGCCTATTGGGTAATCCATCCCTGTTCACAACCAAGCCTCACCCCACCTTCCCAGTGTATCCCTGGCCATTTTAGCATTACTAGACTATTCACATTCTGTGTCAATGTGCCCTTCTGAGAGACAGCCTCTCTGTGCCATGTCTTTTCCTGTCCACCTTTGAAATCATACTCATCAAAATTACTTCCTGTATGAAGCTTTAACTGACTTCGACCTCAAAACACCATGTTGTGGCTTCCTCCTCTGTGCTTCTAAGTCCTTAACTTATATACCTCTATATCCCAAGCACTATTCTGACTTATCTTGGTTTTATTATGTGCTTTTATCTTCCACTGGAGTCCTGGTGTGGCGTTGTAGGATACGCACTGGACACCAAGGCCAGTTTGAACCACAACCTATATACATAGGGTCAATATGAGTCAAAACAGACTCAATGAGACTTTACAACATATCTTTCACTAATCTGTAAGTGAGTACAATGGCTCTATAGGATAAATACTGGACTGTGAAAGACAAGGATGGCGGTTTGAGCCCACCATTTGCTTCATGGGAGAAAGATGAGGCTTTCTGCTTCCGCAAAGATTTTTTTTTTTTTTTTTTAAGGTTTTTATTGTGGATTGAGTGAAAGTTTACAGGGCACATCATCAGTTTCGCATTCAACCATTCATATGACTTGTTTCATTACATTGATTACAATCCCCTCCATACATCATCAGTCAACAGTGTTTCTCTCTATCCTCTTTGGCTTTTCTCCTTTTTGGTTCCGCAAAGATTTACAACCTCTGAAACCCTGTATAGGGTTGCTATGAGCTGGAACCAACACAAGGACAACAATTTGTAAATGGGAGGATATAATTTATCCTAATTTCCAGCAGTGTTCTTATACATACTAAGGACTCAAGAAAAACTTACCAAATTAAAATGCTGTAAAATCAGTGGGTGATTCTCTCCTATCTTCTGGCTACTACAGCATCTCTCATACTGACAAAGGCAGCTGGTCAGACACTAATGGCGCCACCTCCTAGCCATCCCTCCTAAGGTTCTAAAATAACTTTATGGTCATGAGCTGCTTGGAGGTCTGGGTCACCATCAGTACCATTATAGCTACTTGCATGAGAAATCTGTACTCTTAATCATCAAAGGACATAAATATCTCTTTGTGAAGACTTCACCGATCCCCTGTAAGCGTCCTCCATTTTCTCTATACTCTACAATTATTTGTATTTCTCTTGTATTTTAGTTAATTTTATATATGTAACATTCTCTCTCTCCCTCTTTTTTTAAATATAACATTCTCTTATAACTCCTGAAAACTGGACTGTGAACCACAGGTTGGCAAGCCCACTAGCTGTTCCTCAGAAACACTATACAGGGTGACTATGAATTGGAATCAACTCAACAGTGTTAAACAACAACACAACCCTCTCTCTCTAGTTCCTTAAGAAGACCTTATTCACTGCAGACTCTCTGACATTACCTAATATAACACTTAAACTCAGTGGACATTTAATAAATATTGACTATAAATGAAACCGTAGTCCTGGTGTAGCACTCCACCATAAGGTTGGTTTGAGTTTCAAGGTTCAAATTCGCCAGCGGCTCCTAGGAAACCCTAAACAGGGTCACTATGGGTCGGAACCAACTAAATGGCAATTAACAACAACAATAAATGAAACTACATTTAGAGTTGTACCAAGTAACTACAACTTTGAAATGGCATTAATTTCCATTTTCAAGTCTGCATATAGTGAATCTTGTTAAAAAAAAAATTCTTAAGTGAGTGGGGCTAGATAGGTTGGTAAAAATCCCAACAAATGAGATTCAGAAAACTTTGGAAATTCTATAGAAAGAAGACCCTTCAGTTTTCTTTAAAAAATAAGTTATTAAAGACCATTGCCAGGTCTGTTTCCATGACTGGCCTTCCTCTTCTCAGTGGAGAGGAGAAATCTGGTGGATTCTGTGATAACTTGTGGACTAGGTCTGGCATCGGTGCGACCAGATGGCAAGACACCAGATGAGATCATTTTAAAGCTTTTCTGTGTTTTGAATTGAGAGTGCACCAAGCCAAGCCATGAATGTAAACTCAAAGGTTTAAGATTTTTCTAATAAGCAGCTTAAAACATATAGATTTCTCATTCTGAACCACAAATGCTTTAACTACAATTGGCTACTCGTCTACTCTCTTACTCTGCCAGAGAGTGCAAGGCACACACTTACTGGCACCAGCTTATTAATTTGATCTGTCAAACAGGAAATCTTTACAAATTAGACAATAACAAAGGGAACCAGCTTCAGGGATACCCCCAGGCTTAGATAGCTACTAGGCACTTATATTAGAAATGTGTGAGAATGACTGATCTGACTGGGGTCTGACAACTAGAGAGGGTCACATCTGGGGAAGCACCTGCTTCCCCAGCATGCTCCGGCTAAACAGCTGGCTTCAAGAGCTCAACTCAGTAACCAACAGCAAGATTTCAATAAGATCCAACAATAAAACCCCCCCACCTACTTACACTTAATTCTTACTACATACCAAGCAAAAACCCTCATATCTTATAAGCCTGTTTCTCAGAAACACTATACTGTTTCCAGATACTGTTCTTACTCCTAATTCTAAGATAATGTACATTTAAGCAAAACCTTCTCTGTGATAGCCATGACACATTTTCTTGCATTAAAGCCACCTTCCTCTAACAAATGGTCCTGCAGTATCCCAATCCATTTGTCAACTCAACAAAGCTAACAAGCTGTGACCCACCTTCCGCCTTCAATACACGTAGCACTCATTATCCACGGACAGCCTCACTGAGAGCATATTGCTCTTGTCTGAATGGTTCTTTACAAGTATTGTACTTTAATCTTGCAAGTTAAAAGTCTGGCTAGTTCATTGTCCATTCAGCTGTAACGCAATTCATTTTCTGAAATTTTAAATTACTTGTGTAGGAGAAACCACAAATTATGGAAGTATACTAAATCAATAACCCATTTTGAAAGTTCACGTCTTCACTGTTGAAAACTTCAGAGACTGCTCTGGATATAGTACAACGTTGGTAGTAGTATATGGTAAGAATTAAGATAACAAAAGACCATTAAATACGGCTTTAAATGATAGTTAGAGAAACTCAGACTTGTGGGCCATTGCCTTTCTTCCTAATTTTTTTAGGTTTTATTATACATCAGAAACAGAGTCTGATTAGGAATTAATTAGACTCTTTGGTCATAATAAATAAAACTTGAAACGCTAATGCTTTAGTGCCATGAGCATTTCTGACCCTGTTCATTTCTCTAGTAAACCTGTTAACTCTGAATATGGTGTCTGAGTTCTGTGTGGTCATTACAATGAATTATTGAATCCAGCAGAGTAGAGTGTGTGGGAGGCATGGTTGGTGCCATTTTTACCCTCCCCAGCCCACCAGGCCTAAGTAACCACTAATCTACTTTCTGTGTCGATGAATTTGTCTATTCTGGCTATCATTTAATACTAATGAAATCGCATAGAACTGGATTTTTTCAGTTAACATGTTTTCAAGGTTCAATGATGTTGTAACTTGTACCAGCCTGTCAATTCTTTTCTGTTACGAAATAACAATCTATTGTACAAAAACATACCACATTCATGTAATTTTTTGTGCGGATATACATTTTCATTTATCTTGAACATATAGCTAAAAGTGAAAATGCTGGGTAATGCGGTATACGGTAAATCTCTGTTTAACCTTTAGAGGAACTGTCAAACTGTTTTCCAGAGTTGCTGTACCATTTTACATTCCCATTAGCGATGTCTCCAGACCTTTCGACCCTGTCTAGGGTTTCTGAGGAGCAGCTGGTGGGTGTGAATCATCGACTTTGTGGTTCCTATTGCCCTTGTGGTCCAGTGCATTATCTTACAGTGCCACACTAGGGCTCCTTTTAAAATCATAGTCATCCTAAACCCTACTGCCACTGAGTTGATGCTGATTTATAGTGACCCTATAGGACAGAGGAGTGCTGTCCCATAGGATTTCCAGGCTGTCATCTTCACAGGAGTCCTGGTGTGGTGCTGTAGGATAAGCAAGGTTGGTGATTTGAACTCACCAGCTGCTCCTTGGAAACCCTATACAGGACCGCTTTGAGTCCAAACCAACTAGACAGCACTTAACAACAACAATTTTTACAGAAGCCAACTGCCTCAACTTTCTCCCACAGTGGCTGATGGGCTTAAGCTGCCAACCTTTTGGTTAGCAGGTAAGTACTTAACTACTGTGCCACCATGTCTCCTTACAGCCATCCTAGAGGATGTAAAGTTGTATCTCACAGTGGTCTGGATTTGCATATCCCTAATGGCTTATATCAAGGAGCCCTGGTAGAGTAATACATTACAAGCTGGGCTGCTATCTGCACTCCAACCAATAAGGGATCATGTCACTAATGCCCAGGATGGCGTCCTGGTGTGGTACTGTACAGTAAGCTTTGGACTGCTAACCACAAGGTTGGTGGTTCAAACCCACCAATTGCTGCTACTCTGAAATCCAATACAGGATCTCTATGAGTTGGATTGGACTTGACAGCACTTAATAACAACAATGGCTAATAGGAGTCCTGGTGTGGTGCTGTAAGATAGGCACTGGACTGCAAGGTCATTCAAAACTACCAGCTACTCCTCTGAAACCCTATACAGGATACTATGAATCAGAACTGATTGGAAGTTACTTAACAGCAACAATGATTAATAATGTTGAACATCTTTTCATATGTTTCTTGGCCATTTGTATATCTTTAGAGAAATGACTATACAAATCATTTGCCCATTT